ATGTGGAGCTTTATGCCTTTGTCTCCTCCAGCTTTCTTTGCAGCTGGGTCTCGAGGGATGTGCACAGGGTAAGCTCCTGGAGGACACTGATGGACGTCTGCTTAGATGAGTCATGCTATACACATTGCAAGCTCTTATTTATAAGCTAGCAGGACTTTGGTGAAACCCAGTCTCTGGATTCTATTCCTTCCCTCCCCAGATATCTGAGTGCTGACTCTGAGACAGAATGTGCTGTGCTTTCTGGAGCTGTAGGCTTTGGGCAAGGCTGGTGACACTTGTGGAGTCTTGAGTATGGGAGAGAAAAGGAACATTTCTTCCAGATGCTGTAGGTCAGGATGGGAATGGAGGAGAATAACAGGTCTAATGGTGGGCTGCTTTTGCTTGTTGAGTTCACCTTTCTTCCTCCCTTGGGCTGGGGTCTGGATGTGTTACTGCAGGTGCCAAGTAGGTGGTCTGTGCATTTTGACCAGGAAAGGGTTGGTTGAATTGGCTGCTGTGAGGGGCATTGCTCATGAACACACTCTCTTGACTGTCATTGTTTCTGTACCTCGAGTTAGAGAGGCCACTTCACTTTCTGCAGGTGGGTATTCTCCTATCAGCCCTGCTGGGGTTCAGCTTTGAGCTATCCTTGTCCTAGATGTTGGACATATGGAGATGAAGGAGCTTTGCCCTGCCTTTTGGGAGCTCATGTCACAGAAGAGTCACACATGAAAGGTGACCAGGGGTACCTCAAATGAAGTTGCCAAGCAGATTTAGGCTCTAGAGCAGGCAGATCTGAGTTCAAATTTCTAGTTCTTCCACAACCTGTGTGACTTTGGGCAGGTATATTTCCTGCTTTGTAAAATGAGGGTAGCAGTATTTTCTACCTTGGGGTTGGTGAAGAATTGGTCAAATAATGTAGTGGGATATTTGGCTGGTGCCTGACAGGAACCTCATGCTTAGAGTACTCACTGGGAGCATTAAGAAATCTCTCTCTGATTGTTCCTCTGGATGCTAGTGTCATGGTCATGGTACTAGTTAGATGGACATGGCATCTGAGAAGCCATCTGGAAGTTATAATGCCCTGGGATGCTCCTTCCAGGATGCTCGGGATGCTTCTCCCAGGCTTGCGATTGTCTACGGGTATTTTCACCCTCTTTTTGCTCCAACTCTTCTCAAAGGAGGGGTCAGCACACCGTCACTGTGGGTACCTTCTCTTGTCTGAGCTCTGTACTAGTCTATTCCTTGACCTTTCCCCAGGGTTGGCACACATGGGCTTGCCTCACCTGTCCTTCCCAAGGAGGGCAGAGACTGTGAAGACTCATAGCAGCAAATCGTTCCATTGCTTTTCCTCAGAGCTTTTGAATGTACTCTGCTCCCAGTGAGGGATTTAGCTCCTGAGTACCTGAGAGGAGGATGGCACTGCCCAAAGCTCAGAATGCAACACTAACAAGCCTTGTGGCCTTGAGCAAGTAACTCCATCTGCTTTTCCTCATCCATACAAAAGCTATGATAGCATCTGCCTCTGGATGATTCTTTTTTTTTTGGCACTGGGGATTGAATTCAGGGGCACTCAACCACTGAGCCACATCCCTAGGCCTTTTTTGTATTGTATTTAGAGACAGGGTCTTGCTGAGTTGCTTAGGGCCTCGTTAAGTTGCCAAGGTTGGCTTTGAACACATGATCCTCCTGCCTCAGCCTCCTGAGTCTCTGGGATTGCAGGCAAGCACCACAGCGCCCAGCTTTGGCATGTTTCTTAAGGGGTACAGGCAGATGTTGTGGAACAGCACATGGCAGAGGGCGTGCACATTGCAAGCACCAGTGAATACAAAATAGAATGATATGATGTTCTCTCTTCACCCAGGATCACAGGAGTTTCAAGATGCTTTTTTTGGGATATTAATTTATTGCTAATGGAAGTTATATGAGTAATTGCACAAGGAATGTGTTAAAACTCAGATGAGCTTGGTGATGGGGTCAGCTGGTGGAGCTCATTCTGTGCTGGCATTGCAGGAGCAAGCCTCGACTTCCAGCAGGACACCAGGTCCAGTGAGGGAGCACATGGAGTCACGTAGGACTAGGCCTCTGTCTCAGACCTGTCCAGGGTTCTGGGCTGGCTTCCTAGTTTCTTCCATTTTTTGTGAATCCATATACATAAAGGTCTTTCATAGGAACTAATGCAAACACAGTTCTTTTCTTCTTTAGGATTTAAATATTTTTATTGTAAGGTTTAAGATTAGGACAATTGAGTAATAAGAAAATTTAAATGTTTGGCCTTGATTTTCTTTGAAAATTATCTTACTGGAGAAACAGGAATTAATATTGAGAGTCTTTAAGTCCATGTTGGTTTTTTTTGGTTTTTTTTTGAGAGAGAGAGAGAGAGAAAATCTTCTTTAATATTTATTTTTTAGCTTTCGGTGAACACAACATCTTTATTTTATTTTTATGTGGTGCTGAGGATTGAACCCAGGGCCCTGTGCATGCCAGGCGAGCGCGCTACTGCTTGGGCCACATCCCCAGCCCCAGTCCATGTTTATTGAACACAATAATTCTCATGTCTTGTACAAGTCTGGTAACTAGGGCAAGGGAAATCTGTGCTCTCAGTACTCCTAATAATGAAGTATTTATGGAAAAAAAGTTTTTTTGTGGCAATAAAATCTCTTATGTGGAATTAATGACTCTCACTGGTTTTAAATATTTCTTACTTTGTGTCCTAACTCTGTAGTGGCTTTTTCTTCTCTAGGCCCCGACACTTGGTTGTGAACCAAGTGTATTTATAGGTTGTTCCTACCACCACCTTTGGGGTCCCACTGTGCTGTGTCCTGCCATGGTATGTTGTGGTTACACTGTGTGATCATTGATGACTTTCTTGTGATACTTCTCCCTGACTTTGTAGGTAAATGTACTATCCCAGAGCCAGCATAAGGCAGCAGGAATGATGATTATGTCATTCCCCTTACTTAAAACCCTTAGTGGCATCTTCTTTTAGAGAAAAGACCAAATAAGCATGCCTGTGAGGTATTTAAGATACCCTCTTTTTTTTTGGTTTGTACTGGGGATTGAACCCAAGGGCATTTTACTTCTGAGATATATCCAAATTCTTTTTATTATTTTATTTTTAATTTTGAGGCAGGGTGTTACTAAGTTTCTGAGGCTGGCCTCAAACTTTGAATCCTCCTGCCTCAGCTTCTTGAGTCACTGGGATTTCAGGTGTGTGCCACCACACCTAGCTTGTTGGGAAACTTTTTGATGATAAGGTTAGAGTTTATTTGCTGATTGATGTGCAGCATTCTGCTGTGGGGTGTTTTACGGAGCTTATTTCTGTGATTTATCTTTGGGCACCTTTGCATTGGGGACCTGTGGCCTTTGTGCTTATCAGATATAGTGTCAGTCTGAAGGTTAGAGATCTTTGAGTCCAGACTTTCCAGGTGAGGGTGGAGACCTCACCAGTGTTTCATGCTCAGCTGTACTGCTTCACCAACCTGCAGGCCTGTGGACTTGCACACATCCATTTGCATAAGGTAGTCTTAACAGCTGGCTGTGGGTCATGTACTGTTTCTAACAAACTGTGTCTATGGTGAAGCATTTATCTCAAATGAAAACTCTGCTCCAAGGTGGTCAACTGCACGGGAGCAGGGACTAATCCCTGACTTAGTGTTCAGCTCCACTGACCAATCTGATGATGGTGGCTATCTAAGAAAAGACAGTGTCTCAGTGGTCTCTTAGCATCACCATGTTCTTAGGGAGCTTCTTAGGACTGGAAAATTCTTGGAACCTAGTTTTATCACCATGGCCAGTAAGACCTATGGAATGGAGAAGAGCAAAGCTGGTATCACAGATCAATGGATGATCAATGGAGCCAGAATGCCAGGGATATGAATTTGCCGTGTGACAGCTGCTTTCTAAGTGAACAGGAATAGCCCCAGTGTGTTTGCAACCTTTTTTCAGTAGAAAAGCCTTGGATTTAAGATGTGAGATTGAGTTGTGAGGGTTAAGTCAGAGTAAAGGGAGATGATACAGCAACTGAAGGCAGACTCATTCCTCATTCCTCCCTGTCCTGCTAACCTGCTTGCCTGCCTGTCCATCCATCCATCTATCCATCCATCCATCCATCCAACTATCCACTTATCCAGTTCTTGTTCTGGCCTGTGTGGTGGCAGAGAGTCCCCTGATGAATGTGGGGCCACAGTGTGAAAAACAAAGCCTGGCTATCTCTTGGCTTGAAGTATAGTAGCAAAGGAATCACATTACTGCTAATGGCTACAGGAGGAGTACAAGACACCAGGAGACCAAACATTGAATGGTTTTTCCTGCAAGGAGGTCAGAGGCAGCTTCTCAGAGGAAGGAGGCTTCAAGCTGCCACCTGAAGGCCAGCCTGGAGCTAGTCAGATGCAGAGATGCCAGCTACACCTGCATGGTCCCATTGAAGGACAGGGCATGGTGAATCCAGGAAGTACCATGACACCTGTGTGGCTACAGCCCTGAGGGCAAGGAGGGATGAGTGTTCCTGGGTCAGACATGGCGTTGTTTTTGTGAACTGTGTTGATCCCTGACTAAGCTGTGTTGTAGTTGCTGGCTCTTCTTTTTTAGGATCTCCCAGCTGTCACCTAAAGCACCTATTGCTGAGATATTACCTGCCTTATTTTCCAGATAGCAGCTGGCCTTATTTCTGTTGCTCTGAGGATTGGTTGGCTTCTTTGCTTCTTGAGGGGATGGAAGAATACCTTGATCTCATTAGCAGTTTTAAATCATTAAGTAGATATGTATTGCACATGTAATTGGGCTCGATACTGCAGCCCTGCCTCAGGCATCCTACAGACTTGACAGACAGGAGAAAATAAGTGAGGGCCATGTGGTGTAGGGCTGGTGGTGGTGTTGAAATGGGAGCCCATGGAACTTTATAAGATTCTGGATCTTAAAGGAAATTTTCAGCTTTCCAGGTGCATTAGGGACAGGCAGGGGAAGCATCATGTAGTGGCAGAAAAGGCTGAGCAAGCGTGATGCGTAGGCTGTGGCGGGGTGTGTTGCTGGAGTGTGAGGTTTGAGTGGAGAAGGTGGGAGGAGAGGCTGGAGGAAGTGTGGTTGGAAGAGTGCTTTAGGTCTGTTTGCAGGGGCCTCACAGGCAGTGCTTAGGAGTTTGGATGTCATCCTGTGGTCAGTGAATAATTGGTCAAGAGAAACACTATCACTAATCCTGGTGGCAAAATTTTTCCTGGTGGGGAAAAATTTGTGGGAGGAGGCTGGAGATAGGAGTCTGGGTGGGAGATGGTAGGTCCTGAATCTGGCCATCGTGGGCAGTAGAGGTCAGAAAGACTGGTTCCAAGGAAGAAAGGTAGCAGTCTCTGTTTGATGTAGTACATGGTAAGGAAAGTGAATTTGGTTTGGCCATTTAGTTTAGGATACCTTGAGACAGCTCAGTAGGGCTGTCCTTTGGTGAGTGGCCTGTCATCTGGCACTCAGAGAAAAGGTCTCAGCTGGGACAGTGGCTTTCACTGGAGCATCCGCATCCTTTGTGGGCTGGCCATCTGCCTGATTGATATTCTTCACAGGTGATTCAGATACTTACTGGGCTGGGGAGGAGACTTGGGTTGTCCTTGCTTAGGAAGGTTATGTGGTGGCAGAGGGTCCTATCTGCACTGCTGCAGAATGCCAGTAGGAGGGACACTGTGGACATGGAGGAAGGGCCAAGGGAAGGACGAGATGTGAAGTGGTCAGCTGGGAAGGAAGACCTGTAGCGTAGGCACTAGTTTCCACCTCCCTCCCTGCATGGCCCTGCCTGTCCCTGCCCCTACTGCTGGACACTCTTGTTTTTGCCAGTGTCAGAACCAGTTTTATGCACTGTCTCATCAGTCAGTCAGTCAGTCAGTCAGTTTCTGGCTTTTTCCAGAGAAGTTACCTTCACTACCATGTGCAAAAGACTCAGAGAGAGAGATTCTTTGCTGTGTCCAGTTTCTCAGCAAATTTTCTCAAGCAATTTACTGGTACCTACTACTGCTTTTCCTTTGGCGTGAAATCTGTGGCTCCTGAGCAGGAAAGTTGCCCCACCACCAGCGGTCTAACATCCAGGTTCAGGATGGATCTGCAGTCCCATGGGAGGGGTGCATGTCCAGACCCTAGGAAAGGCAGCTGGTCAGAACAGTTGAAGGAAGTCCTGGGAAGTTGGACTAATGTGGCCCAAGGTAAGGAGCCCTGTGACTTGAGGTGCATCCTTAGCCCCTTCTGTATTCCTAGCTTGGTAGCAAAGAGAACCCTGCTGTAGAATTTCCGGAACTTATGAGTGGGGTCTCAGAGTTATAGTACATGAGAGCTACCCAGACGGTTGGTGGGGGCTGAGGGAAAGTGTGTCCATCCCCCTGGTAAATCTAGGAATCAGACTGAGATCAGGACACAGAATCTGGTGAAGGATCTAATCTGGGACAGCCAGTGGGAAACATCTGTGATGATGTGTCTTCTGTTGCTCTGACCCAGAGACCCCAGCATTGGCAGAGGCACTGACCCTGGTGCTGAAAGCCACAGCTGGGGAGTAGTGAGACAGGATCAAGGACAGCCCAGGGAAGTGGCTGTGCTTGGTACCAGAGCCAACCACACTGGTATGAAGCCTTTTGCTTCTCAGGAAAGGAAAAAGAAGAGTGTAATGTTGGTTGAAAAACCCAAGCGCTTCTGCAAAGAGAAGGCAAGAGCCGGGTAGGAAGTGTAGAGGTGCCAGAGACCTGGGCAGGAGTGAGTCTTCTACCTGGAGGTTGGCAGGGTTAAATAGACAATACGAACAGAGGGCTTGCCACAGCATGTGGCCTGCAGCAGGCACATCAGTGTTATTTCTGGAGCTGTGGAGAGACAGGCCTATAGACAGCATGATGAGTTGTCAGTTTTTCTGCTTGGTTTTCAGTGTTTTGATGGATGGAAGGTCCTGGAGTGGACAGGGCTCTGGGGAGTCTGAAAGGGAGAAAGGGCTCATGGTTGCTTGTGTGTAGCTTTTGTCTTCTCATACACATCTTACATCCAAGACGTCTCTGCTAGCTCTTGTTAAATTATTTATAATTCTTATCTCTTCCTGTGTATAATCAAATGAAGGCTATTTCTTGAGCTTCATATTTATGAGTGACTCATTTTGGAATAAAGGGCAGAGAATCTTTCTTAAGAAACAGGGTATTAAGAAAAAAAAAAACCAAAAAACCAAACCAAAACAAAAAAAAAAGAAACAGAGTATTGGGTTGGGGATGTGGCTCAAGTGGTAGCGTGCTCGCCTAGCATGTGTGAGGCACTGGGATCGATCCTCAGCACCACATAAAAATAAAATAAAGATATTGTATCCACCTAAAGCTAAAAAATAAATATTAAAAAAAGAAATAGGGTATTACTTGTTTATACATGACTTTACTCAAGTCCTGCTAATTGTTTCTAAGCTAATGAAACTTTATATGATGTGTAAAATTATCATAAGAATGTAGAGCTAAAGAACATTTAAAGGTTAGCTTAACTTTCTGGTTTTGTAGAAGAGGCAACTGAGGCAGGAGAAGTCAAGAACTTTGCTCAAGAGTGGTCACAGGTGAGTGGTGGACATGGTACTAGACCTTAGCGCCTAGCTCTATCCAGGAACCTTTGAATCCATTAGGGCAGATAGAGAGGGGAGCAGAGAGAATCCACCTGCCCTGTTTTGGAACATATCAGGCTGGAACATAATCATCTGTCCTCATTCCAGAAGGAACAAAGAGAAAGACCAGCGCCAAAGGGGAGACTGCAAAGATCCAGCCTAGAGAGGAAGATAAACAGGCAGTCGAGGAATAGAGGAGGAGTGTGCTTTTGGAAGAACGTTTGTCTAGGTTAATTGAGGTGGGTTTCAAATGTCTTCTACTTTCTCCTCTCAGAGGAGTTACAGATACTATGAAAGATGAAACAATAAACTGGGATGAGAAAGGGGATAGGCAACCCAAAGAATGTTAGACAGTAAGTCATGTAATGCCAACACTGAAAGTGGGCAGTGGTGTGGAAAGTCACCAGACCAGGAGGAGGGCAAATTGGCCCATCTGGGCAGGTGCAGGAGAGAAGCAGAGGAGGTGCTAGAGTGGCCCATGGGGGGGACTCTAGAGCTCTTGAGGTAGAGACCAGGATAATGGAATAGAAGGGAATCCTTTGTCTTCCTGAACTGGAGAAGGATCTGAACCTGAGAATTATGAGGGCTTCTCATGAACCAGGCAAAATTACCAAAATAGCCAGCACTTAACATGTTAAGATACCATTAACATCCAGGCAGAAGAATCCTTTCAAATAAAGAAAACTGGGCTGGGCTCAGATTTATCCACAGACTAGGTGCCAGAGGGCATGGAGCAATGCCCATAGAGTTCTGAGGGAAAAGGGTTTTGACTCAGGAATTTTATGCCCAGCATATAAAAGGTGATTGGGCCTTACTGCTAGGTCTTACTTCACATTAATGGTAACAAATTCACCTCAGTTATGCAAGGACACATTGTGTGAGACGCTTTTGCTATACCCACGCACCATCTAAGGGGAGAACTGCTTGAAGATATGCTCTAGCCACTGAGCTGTCACTCACAGTGAAGGGCTTGTGGCTGGATAAGTCAGAGTGTGAAATGATTGGCAGTGAGAGTGGAACCATTCCAGTGTGAACTTATTTCTAAACAATTGTGAATATGATTATAAAATGAAACATAAAATAAATGATTATCAAATGAAAATATAGCATCACATCATATTTAATAGTAAAACCAAGAATAAAATTCCAAGGGTTCATGCGTATGAACATGCTGTGCACCCCAAAGAGCTGTACAAATGTGAGGATGAAGTTGAAAGCTATCTTTGGACCCTCCTGTGTGTCCAGATGTGTGTCCTGTAGATAACATAATGCTGTGCAGGTATGTAGTCGACTTGGGCCTTTTGTGGATGTTCCTCAGGGTACTACCTTTTCAGACTTTCCTGGAAAGGTTTTCTCAGCATCTGCATTCTTGAGAGGTCACACATTGCTGGTAGAAATGTAAAATGGTGCAGGGTTCTTTGGCCAACAATTCAGCAAATCCTCAAAAAGTGAAACATCTAGTTACCACATGACTTTGCCATTGTGCTCCCAGATGTCTACTCAAAAGACATATGGCCATATGAAGACTTATGCATGCTTGTTCCCAACAACATGACTCAAAATAGAAAACAACTAAGTGTCTACCATTTGATGAATGGATAAATAACATGTCCAGTGTATGAGCCCCTAGAGCTCTGTATTAGTATTCAGCTAGAAAGTTGTCATAAAGGATGTATTAGATGAACTTGAAACATTCCAAGTGAAAGAAGCCATACATAAAAGTCCATATGCTGCATGAGCCCATTTGTATGAAATGTCTAGAAGAGGCCAATCCAGAGAGACAAGAAGTAGACCAGAGGCTGTCAGGTTTGGGGAGGGGAGCTGGGGAGTGTCTGCTCATGGGTTGGGTGTAGGGTTCTTCTGGGAGTGGTGAAAATGTTATGGAATTAGATAATGGTGATGTTTTGCACAACTTGGTGGGTATGCTAAAAAACACTGAGTTCTATAGTTTAAAAGGGTGACAATTAGGGAAAATAAATTATATCTCAATTTTTAAAAATAGCCTTTTCTTATTATTAAGTGTTAATTGTGGAAAAATAACAATAAAGATAAGCAGAAAACAAAGGGACAATTGTCACTCCATTGTTAATACTTGGGGAATATGTGGCCCTATGTTTGTCTGGGTGTGTCTCAAAGTTGGATTGATGGACCAATTTTATTTTGTCTTTTCTATCGTGATTGGTGTATTGGGATTAGCACAGTCCACAGCCTGTTCTTTATCTTAGTTCTTTCATGTTCCTCTTTGTTAGGGTGTTAATGCTGGGAACTATATTTGGGCACAAGAGGGAACAGTACCAGATTTTGAGTCCGAAGACCTGGGTGTCTGCTGTGCCTTACCTCAGGTCTGGGAGCTTGAGAGGAGTGCTCAGTCTCTCATAATTCTCAGTGTCTCTCACCTCATGTTTGAAAGGGGCTCGCGCTTACACTATGATGGCTTTCACTCCAGAGTGGGTACAAGGGTGGGAAAGGGAGACATTATCATCTGATGGTGAGGTGTAGAGCAAACAGAACTCCCACACCCTGCTGGTGGGACTGTAATTTGGCTCATCCACTTTGGAAGACAGTTTGGCATCGTTTGGCCAAGTGTCAGTCCAGCTGTGGGACTGACATGGAAGCACACAAGGATTTGTGCATCTGTAATATCCAACCTGGAAGCAGTCTCAGTGTCTGTCAGTAGTAGGACGGACAGGCATGAGGTAACTCCCAGTGGAAAAATGTAGACTAACTTCCCAATATTCATTCAGACACAAGGGTATGGATATCCAAGTCCATTTATATAAAGTCTAAAACCTGATGAAACTAATGTGTATTGGTAGTAGTGGGTGACCCTTGGGGGCCTAGTGGACTTGTGGCTGATGACCTTGCTCCACCTGGGTGCTGGTTACAGGGTGTGCTCACTGCGAGAGCATGTGTTCCATATTGCTAGTGCTTCTTTGTATGTGCGTTGTACAAGTTTATATGAACACTAGAAAGAGAAGAGTATAAATCCTCCTGCTTTCACTAAAAATTTCAATGAGAATCAAAGATTTTTATTTTTCTGATGAATAAAATGATTGCTCTAACATAATTTGTTTTGTCTCTTTGCTTGAAGTTTGTATTTTACAGTGTATGCATGTTGGTACCTTACAGCATGTGTTTAATCTGCAATAAAACATACATGTGCAGTCACTATCCTTTTTTAAACTGCTGCTGAAGAAGGATTGTGAAGTTGGATGGGCCATGGCTAGAGGTCTTCGAAGAGTGGGCAGAGGCCTGGCTGTGGGGCGTGGCCAGCTGGTAGGCTGCATGTGGTTCAGCTGAGTCCACATCAGAAGTGGTTTCCTTGCTGCCGGAGCGCAAGTGTGAGATCAGGGATGGTGGAGGGTGAGCTGGAGGGGGCCTTGGGGCCAGGCCTCAGAGTGTCTTGGAGCCTGGGGTGGGGGTTCGGGGGGGAGGTGTCAGGAATGGAGAAGAGGAAGCTTGGCGAGAGGTGGAAGAGCAGGGACAGCTGGCAGGGCATCTGGGCAGAAGAAAGGAGCTGGCAGTGGAAAGCCATGGAGCTGTGTAGGAGGACAGGAATGATGAGGTCAATCTCAGGGTAGAGAGATGAGTCTCCAGGACCAGGGGCTGGTGAACTGTGTTAAGAGCTGCCTCAGAGTAAGAAAGTCCTAGGCCACCAGTCTCAGCAAGGAGTCCTGGGGATGGGGATGGGGGGATCAGTGGTAACCCAGGAGTCAGGTGGGGGTTGCTGAAGGCAGGTGGGAGGAAGTTAGTGTTGTGCCTTTCAGCAGAAGGCAGCTGGAGCCCAGGGGCCTCAGCTGTTGAGAAGGTTGGGGAGAACTGGAGATGGATCAGGCAGAGCGAAGGACCAGGGCACTGGAGGAGCTAGAGGGTGCAGAGAAGGAGTTGGCTGGCTGGCTGGCAACTGGGAATGGGCCCCGGAGCCCTGGCCCTGGGTCACAGGCAGATTTCTTTTTCAGAGATGAGAGGGGAGGACAAGGTTAAAGGAGGAAGCTGAAGTTGGCTCTCTGCAGTGAAGGAGGTCATGAGGCTGCGCAGCTGGGAGTGGGCAGGTACAGAGTGAGTGTGGCTGTGTGGGCAGAGGGGTGCTTTGTGTGGCCACCATGGAGGACAGAAAGTGAACCAATGGCAAGCTGAGCTTGCGGTGCCTGTGCACCAGTGTTTGGCTGCAGTGTGGCAGGGCTGCTGACTGTTGCCTGTACCTGGAACACACCAGGCACTGCCTCCTTTTCAGACGGCGATGTGCTGCAAGGGCAGGACGCGACTGGGCACTCATGAGTCTCTTTCATGCTGGGTAGTGCCCAGAGCCTTAGCTCTGTTTTTGGCCTACTAGAAAGTATTTTCACATGGAGATGGTGTTTTTCTTTGGGGTTGATTTCCCATACAAACCATCTATCCAAAGCATGGTAGGAAAGAACACCAGTGGCCAGTGAGGAGGAATTCCTGTAATTTTAGGGCACGCTTTGCTATCTGATAGGCTAATGATGATATCGGAGATCAACTTAGAAAAAGCATTTGACATTTCAAAGAGCAGGTGGAAATCAGAGCCTGTAGACTGTAGTTGGTCTGACCTGGCTGAAGTTTGAAGAGCAAATCTTAGCCATGTGGAACATCATGTAAGTTGGATTATCTCCCCTGCTTTTATGACTGCCACTCTTTGGAAAGAAACGTGTTGGGATGGTAGATGCTGGTGGTCGGTTGATTATAAAGCCCAGCAGGTGAAGTTCTGGTGAGTCTTGTCACTGGCTGCGCTGACATGTGCCCTTTTGAGTAGGTGTCCATGCTGTGTGGGAAGCCACAGGTACACCCTGGGTACAGGTGAGTTGAAGTGGCTACAGTCAGAGGAATCTCCTGCAGATGAAATTGAGGGACTGAGGGGCTGCACAGGGATTTGGGACACTGGGCATCCTCAGGGAGCATCTGTGGGGGTGGGAGTTGCTGTGGTTTGTGGTTTGGGTGAGTGTCCAAAGGTCCATGTGTTAAAGGCTTGGTCTCCATGGTGGGGCTGTTGGGATATGGTGGAACCTTTATAGGCAGGATCTAGTGGAAGGTCATTGGGTGCTGCCCTTGAAGGGAATAGTGGGACTCTGGTCTCTTTCTTCTCTTTTGTTCTGCTTCCTGGCTCATGAGATGAGCAATTTGTTCTGCTGTGTGGTCCCAATATGATGTGTCACCCTTGCCAGAGGCTCAAAGTGATGGGCTACCTGATCTTGGACTGGAAGTCCTGGAATCATAAGCC